GTCCAGTTGGCTGGAAAAGACTGTACATGTAGGAATTGGGGCGAGAGAAGCCTGGAGAAGTAGTCAGGGTCGGAGAGTGGGGGCCATGGCTGCCAAGGTAAGGGGTTTGGACTTCTATGAAGAGGCAAAGGGAGCCATTGATGGGTTTAGACTACTATCTGGCTCTGACTGCTTAGCAAGGTTTTTTTTTTTCCCCCACATATTTTACAGTCTCAGATCTCTCTTACAACCTCAGTAATAAGTTATGATGTTTAGCAAATTAAAAAAAAAAATCCTGTTGTCTTTTCTTTTGGTAAAATAGAAGAAAAAAGTTTCTGTCCCAGACATGTCTGTAAGGACTTGAGAAGTGGGGACTCAACTGAAAGCCCATGTGTACATATAGGGAAATGGAGGTTGACAATGAGAACAGAAGGAAAAATTATGCCGGGGCTGAGCCATTTGCTCTTCATTGTAAAGCGTTAATACAAAGCTTCCACAATATGCCCTAGGATGCTGCCTGCCGAAACCATATGAGGAGGTCTTTTTAAAATGTATATTGTGGATAATGACTCATGTTGGCTAGTAGACTGGGTTCATTATCTCTCCATAATAGGATAGGCTCAATTCAAATAGGATTGAGTTGTTAAATAGAAGAGCAGAAAATGGAAGAAGTGGGGAATGTTTTTGTGATCATTAAAAAAATCCAGGTATAATGGAGTATTGTTCACCATGTCAGGCTAATGATGGCCTCTAAAAGTGAGGAGGAAAAGGGAAAATTTCATCAGATATGAAGAGAAATAATTAAGTGCCTTTCCTTCTGCCGTGTCTTAGTCAGGGAAGCGGACATTCCAATTAGCAACTTCAGTACCAGCACGGACCCTCTGGATTTTGTAAGGGGGTCTGTGGAAAGGTGTCGTGATGCTATTCCTGTAGAAACTCATCAAGCATCAAAGTTGCCCTTAACGCCAATTACAGCTGTTCCCTCATAGAGCTTATTAAAATGCTTCATAGTCATAAGCCACCTAGATACCTTGAGGCCAAGAAGCTCCAGTAAGAGGAACAAAACGTGGGCAGAGTGCAGTTATTTAGAAGGCGTTTGGCAGGTAACTGCTTAATTAGCTCAGCCTGTGTGGACGGTGACTTACACATCCAATTCCGTTTGTTGCTGCCAGGGCATCGTTTAATGAGATGTATTTTAACCTTGATCTTGTATTTTAATTTTGATCTCTTGGCCAGATTTAGTGAGCAAACAACAACTGGAAACCGAGGTGCAAGGGGCCTTATGTAAAGTAACTAGAGAATGAGGAGCCAGGAGTTTACCTGGGAGGCCGTGCACTTTAACACCACAAGACAACCGAGTGGTACTCAGAGAACTGAAAAAATAAAGACTCAGAGGCAGGAGGACCTGAGTGTTTCCAAGATGCTGTAGGAATAATAATAATGTCATCAATAACAACAGTAACTAACATTAATTTAAAGCTTAGTGTGTGTTCTATTTGCCAACAATGGATTGAATATAAAAGAATAATTTTTTTTTAAAACCCAGGTTTCATAGGTTTCATCTTAGACTATTGAGGTCCATTAGGCAATTTCCTTAAAAAGCTTTGACTTAACTCTTTAGACTCTCAGAGCATGCGAACTTAACCACTCGGCCACAGGGTGGGCCCTGAAACTTGGGTTTTTAAAAAAATTATCCTTTTATACTCAATCCATTGCTGGCAAATAGAACATACTAAGCTTTAAACTAATGTTAGTTACTGTTGTTATTGATGACATTATTAATATTCCTACAGCATCCCAGAAACGCTCAGGTCCTCCTGCCTCTGAGTCCTTATTTTTTCAGTTCTCTGAGTACCACTCCATTGCCTTCTGAAAATAACTCTTTCCTAGTAACTCTTCAACGCCAGGGCTTGCTAAACTCTTATGCCAGTCCACATTCTGTCGTGGCATTTAAAGATTCTGCACACCTCCCGCCAATGGTCTTTCCTTTTGGATGCTCCTTTGCAAGCCTCCTACTCCACTCAGACCAGTGTGTCTATCATCCAAAGCACATGCCATGTTGGCCTCTTGTCTTTGCTCTTCTTGTCTAGAATCTCTTCCATCGACTGTGGCACAATACCACAGGGGTTCTGAGTCCATTTACTTGCCGCATGAGCGTGGACAAGTGAGCTGCACTCTCTGAGCCTCAGCTCCCTCCTCTAAAATCTGGGTATAAAACTTGCCTCACATGGTTGTTGTAAGGATGGGAGGAGGTCATGGATGGGCACCCAGTGCCTGGCACCCAGTTAGAGCTCAGCAGATGCTGATTGTTACAAATTTCCAATTGTTAGAAATTTCCAATCCCAATTCATCCATGAAATCTTATTTCTTGCATCTACTGCTTGCATCTTACTACTTACATCTATTCTTGTCTACACACTAATTTCTCTGTTTTCCCACCTCCCACTGCACCTGTGGTCAGGAGTGTTTGTAGTACTTAAATATTCTTATTCCTGTGCATTATTCTCCACAAATAAACTGCAAAGTGAAATAGGGCATAGATCGTGTCTTACATCAACACCAGGGCCTTCAGGAGCCAGACAAGCAGCAGAAAATAGATTGGGTGTAAGAAAAAGAAGGAGGAGTGAGGACTCTGGCCAACTCGAGGCACATGTAACTCTGGCCAATTGTTGTCATGCGGGAATATGGGCCCAGTGTTGCCAGACCTCGGCCTTTTCAAAAGAAGCCAGAAATCCAAATTCTTAGGTAAAATGTCCTGAATTTTAAGAGTTGGGCCAACAGTGTTCAGGCCAAACAAAGCATGTGTGTGAGACCCCGCTTTGTCTTATTCAGATGGCTCCTGAAGTTTGTATGTAAGCTGGTTATTTGGACCTCTGAACCCACTTTTCTAGAGAAACAATACTGTGAATGGCATTTAGGAGTCCAGGCTAAGCTAGAAGGCTGATTCCTACTCACACCAGACCTGGAGCTTAGGACAGTCCTAGAAACCCGATCTCTATGTGAAACCATTTTCCCAAAGGGAAACACATTTAGAGTTCTGAGTTATGATGTTGGGGACACATATACGAGGAGGTGAGCCTTTCAGGACAGGGCCTTTGTTTTGTTCACTGCTGTTTCCTTAATGTCTAGAACACTGCCTGGCACTCAATAATAATTTGTTGAATTAGAGATTACCTGTGTCTTTATCCATCTGTCCACCATTAATCTGTTCTCTGTATACAAACAAAGACCCTCTTGCTCACCATGGCATCCCCAGCACCTGGTACGTGATAAGAGATCAATAAATGTTTGTTGAATGAATATATGAATCTATCCATCAAACACTTATTGAGCACCTGCGGTGTGACACGGAATATGCTGGACTTCAAGGATGCAGAAGTGAATCAGACACCATCCCAGCCTCAAGGAATTAGGTTGCCTAGAAAAGATTGCATAAACTAATTCCTGGAACACTTCTAAAAATTGTCAGGAGTTACTCAGTGTTCCCCTTCCCAGAAGAGGGGGGTGTGGATGCGATGACCTGGGACCATTCAGCACTACACTTCTTCGTTTATCTGAGCGTCCCTGGGGTTGTATTCATCTGTGGGGTTTGGATGGGAAGTGGTTGAACTGATTTTCTTTCAACCACGTGTCAGAATGAGCCAAATGAGCACTGCCCTTTCAAGTGGGCACCTCGGGAGGCCGTGTCCTCATTCCACTTCAGTTACGACAGCCCTGGACCACTTATTTGGCAAGTGCCCTCAGAGAAAGTTAGAAGCCACTTAAGGACATTTATTTCATTGCGTTAGCATCATGTCTTATTTTTGAGCCCCACACCCCAAATGTTTGGGAGAAAAGAGTTATTCCAGTCACTTTATGCCTGAAACTTGGTTCCAAAGGACTTTGGGTTGTTTCCTAAAATCCACTTCATGATCCAAGGAGAAATATTTTCTGTTGTGAGTTTATTGAACAGTGTGTGCTCCAGGCTCTGAAGGCAGCAGGCCCCAAAGTCCCCAAATTGTCCTGTCCCTCCGCAGTTTCGTTGGAGGAAATGTTTAACCCTCCAACGTGTCTGTGACAGAGGAGGGAGAATTCTTTTGGATGCCTGCATTCTGGTGTTTGGGTTAAAGAGGAAAAAAAGATAAACGGTATCTAGTTCACTATTATATCCCCAATAACTAGTACAAATTCTGGACATGTAGACGCCCAAAAATGTTTTATGGAGAGGAAAAACGAACGATGATGAGGTCCAACATCTACTCAGTGCTTACCATGTGCCAGGCACTGTGCTGGTGCGTGTCACACATTACATGTGATCGTCACAACAACCTTATGGGGTCGTTACAGTCATGGCCTCCAAAAGGAAACTGAGGCCCGAGGTTAAGTTACTTGCCCAAGGTCACCAAGCCAGCAAGTGACGAGGCTAGGATTTGAACCCAGGTGGAAGGTCTCTACCCTGAACCCCTAACCTATACTCATCGAGAAGGTAATGGGTATCGAATCACATAATCCTAGTCGAAGGTGATCCTAAAAAACTAAGTGGTTCAGCTGCCTGCTGTGGTCATGAAACCTCCCTCAGTCAGCAGATTAGTGGCTGTCCAGCTGTCCAGCCTCTCCTTGACCGTCCTACTACACTGCTCTTGTTAGCCAAGATTTTGACACCTATTAGAAATCGCTACACAAGTAAGCATGTGGTTGAAACTTGGCGGAGTGGGGCACCTGCGTGCTCCTGTATTGTTTTTGGAGTTTTGGGGAACCTGATCCATCCCGAATGTGGCCAGGCCACTGACGGCACAGGGGAGGGACTGGGAATTGGGACTGGAAAAGTGACCTGAAGTCATACCCAAGGGGCCAGGAGTCTGATCCTACTAACCTACTATCTTCGTGCATGACCCTAGGCAGATTGCTGTGTCTTCCTCTGCCTTGGTTTCCCCATCTGTAGGAAAAGAGTTATTTCTAAGGTCTGTCCAGGTCTGGAGGAGGACTAGAAAGAACAGACCCTTCTTGCTTGGGGTTTGCTCATTGGGCATTTGTCTCTGCAGGCTGGAGGAGAATTATGAGATTGCAGAAGGGGTCTGCATCCCTCGCAGCGCCCTTTACATGCATTACCTGGATTTCTGCGAGAAGAACGACACCCAGCCTGTGAATGCTGCCAGCTTTGGAAAGGTGAGTCCAGCCTCACCAGGCTTGCTGCTTTCCTTCACCCACTTTGAAGTAATTTGTGTACAGTTCTTAATCATGTTTTGAAACATCATGATTGGTTTTCTTCAGTAACCAAAGTAAACACTTTGGGTTTCTTCGCTGTAAAAATTTCAAACAATTGTTAACAACTAACACCAAAACAAAGTAATATCAAAGTATTAAAAATTTCAAAGAATTCAGACACATTGTAAAATAAATGTGAATGTCTAATTTGAATTTCCTCAGTACTTAATTGTCAGACAGTAACTTCTCTGGGAGGCAAATGTGGAACCCACAAGTGTGTTATATGTATGTCAGTGAGCCTGGGACAGGCAAACTGCTGGGCTTCGTAACGTGAAAGGCTGGGGGAACCTGGGAAACAGCCTTGTCTTATCAGCTTGGAGGTCTAGAGTCCTCTGCTGGGAGTGGTACTATCTGTAATATCACTGCAGCCTGACTGTTCTCTGTCTGTCTTATGATAAAAAGATATTCCACGCTTATGGCTATGTCTACAAAAAATCGCTGTCACTCATCATTCCTATTTAACAGGCCAAGGAAGGTTGTTGGAGCACTCCTTAGAACTGATCGTTTACTGATAGATAAAAATCTAGATTTTTACACCTCCAAAATACTCAATTTAATTTGAGTCAATATATCTAAACTCTTTCTCCTTTTGGTAGCTTCTTTTTCGTATGTATAATTTTTACTGCGTCTGCTAATGACAAATAGGCAGGCTTGTTCTGCCCCGCTGTTCCTCACCACTTTTCTAAGTGCAGGCATAACAAGGACTGAAATGGCAGAAGGAGGTCAGTGTACAAGTTTCAGGAATTCCCTTTGCAGATCCCCAACAGATAAATCATTAGCAGGAAAGAAAACAAACAAAAGAGCAGTGTCAGGCCTCAGCCAACCCCCCTGGAGAGTCCAAAACTGAGTGGCTGAGAATTGGCTCCCCTCAATAAATGGGAAGATGCTCTGTGCTGACTTAGGGAAGAGAAAATGTTTATGTGTTGCATTAATGCTGTTTCTCCAAAGTGAAAAGAATTTTTTAAAAAGTCAATGGAGAAGCCACCTTTGCTGTTTGGTTCATCCAGTTCTTCAGTCCATCGGTATCGGCTGACAGGCTGGGTGGCAGGCACTGTGGCAGGCGGCAGAGAACCAGAAGGGAATCTGGTATGGGTCCTGCTGTGCAGGGGCTCGCAGTCTAGGGAGGGGTCAGCCCCTCAGCTGGTGGGAGAAGGAAGAGCATGCCAGGAATGTGTGCGATACTGGAGCTTTTTCATGTGTCTGTGGTCCTGGAACGTTCGCTTGCATCCACATGCTCCCTACCGGTGGCTGCAATGGAGAGTCCAGATAAGGCCTCTTAGATGGAGCGACAGGTTGAGTTAACCAAAAGACCAAAACTCCTCTCTCTCCTGGAGTTACCACTTAACATCTCTGACCCTCAACCCTCTCAGCTGTGAAATGGGACTTAACCCCTACCTTTTGCAGGGGGATGTTGCAAGATTCAAGTGAGAGGATGCTGGTGGATGCTGTAAGGTACTGTTCAGTCAGTCATCTAATAGCTCAGATATTTAGTAAAACCTACCATGTGCCATTACAATTGTTGTTATGAATTCTCCATAAGATGTTTGTGCACAGATACAAATAGCCGTTTGTTAGTTTAGATTCTGGAAAAGAAACCAAAAACCTTCACCATTTCTAGAAACTCCAGTTTTCCTGTTGAAGGACTTTCCATTCCTTTTTTCTCAAATACTTTTGTAAGCCTGTTGTCTGATCAGGGTTTCCTTGACCTTATGATCTAGGTAAAATTGACTTAACTCTGCCCCTCTTCCCAGTACCCCAGTTCCATTCCCACTTTAAATCTCAGGTCTGCCCCCAAGATTTCAGTAAATCCCAGGGCGCTTGCCTTCTCAGGGTCACGTTGACCTGGGACCCTTCCTTCTGCATATACCACCTCTCTCTACACCTGTGCTATTCAGTATGGTAGCCACTAGCCACACGTGGTTGTTTAAAAGTTAAACAAAATTAAAAATTCAGTCCCTCAGTCACGCTAGCCACATTTCAAATGCTCAATGGCCACATGTAATTAGCAGCTACCGTATTGGACAGTGCAGCTAGAACATTCCCATTATACAGAAAGTTCTATTGGGCAACCCTGTTCTGAATCATCGTGAGCCAGGGATGAAACTCAAGGTCCTCTTTGTTTTGCACAAGACAGCCCACAGAAAGCATTTGTGATCCTAGTTCCTGAAGTTTGTAGGAGGGGTTAACATCCCAAACAGTGTCCTATGGAACAGATGTCCCCACCTCAAAATGCTCTTCCACCTCCGCACGACACTGGCTCACTGGCCCTCCACCTGCTGGTTCCCCACAACTAGTCCCAGCCCTTTCCACTCCGCTGCTGCCTCCTCTTTCCTCCGCCACCACCTCCTTCTGCTCCCCCTCACTCCTTTCTCCCCCTCCTTCTTGGAACAATCTCCACCGAATTTCCTCTGTTCTCCAGTCCTTGATTCCTGCTGACGTCTATGCCCACAGGTCTCAGTTATCCCAAATGACTTTTCAAAATATTTTTCCAAATAGTAAGTTTCCTCTCTAGGCAGAATTACAGTACCAGCTGCTTCCAAGATAGTCATTAAAAAAAAAGCATCCAAACTCTGTCTTATCTTCAGTCCAAAAGCAAGGAAATACTCTAAGAGTGTTAAAAGCACAAATGCAAAAGCTCTTTGTAGCTGCCTTGCCATCATTTTCAGAGGCACTGGAAATTGGGGCTGTCCTCCCAGCCACAGAGGACAGAAGGTGCCTACTGAAGGTTTCCACACTGAGCTTGTTGAATTGAAATCCCAGACACATTTGCCCTTCCTGAGGGCTCCCAGCATGCTGCAGCTGCCACCTCCTTGAGAGAAAGGGACTAGTTGTTCCACAAAACCTTGGGGTGTAATCGCGGACAGTCTTCCTTTGAGAGATCTTTCCGAACTTCGGATTCATCTATGAACTTTTAACTCAGCGCAGGCGAGGTTCAAGATTTCAGCGTAGTTTTTAAAGGAAAATCAGGTCGGTGGTAGTCTCCCCACCCAGTTTGCAAGCGGGCTGAAGTGAAACAAGCTCAGTGGCGAAGCTCTCCCACTGTGTCGCCTGGCTGGGATACTGTTCTTGATAAAGAAGGTGGCAGCAATTGCTTTGCTGCAAGTAAGATCTGAAATAGAAATCCTCTTTCCAATACTGTAGCCAAGTTTCATAAGCATTGGCTTCCAGTAAGGTTGTATTGACTTTGGGTCCCGGAATTAATTTAGGAGCTGCAGAGAATGCCGAGGCTTCTAGCTGAGCTGGTCTTGTGCCTGTGTTTGCTGTTGGCTTGGGTAATGAAAGGTCACCCAACTTGGAGTTACTTAACTTTTCTGAGTTCCCATTTTCTTACCATTAGACAGAAATGATCTCTCATCAAATTACTCTAGGGACAAAATGGGACAGTGCTTATGAGAGTAGTTTTAAAAACTGTATTCTACCAATGGAAGAAATCACCATTATCTAAAATTGGCCCCACTCTATCCTATCTCCTCTATTTCCTTACCATGCTTTATTTTTCTTTATAGCGTTTGCCACTGTCTGAACTATCATATGTATATGATATAACTAATATATTATAAATTTAAATATAAATACAAATATATTTATATATAACAAATATATAAATACATATTTACAGATAACTATATAATACATATAACTATCATATATCTGTATATGTATATATGATACAGCTAATCTATATTTTAGTTGCCCGTGTTTTGTCTGCCGCCTTCTCTAGAACGGAAGCTCATGAGGACTGTTTGTTCACTGTGCAACCCCAGCTCCCACAGTAGTGCCTGGCACATAATAGGCCCTCAGACAGTTGTTGAAGATTGAATGATTTATATTATTACTCCTTGCCAGGGACCATAGCAATCATTTGACCTGTGTGAATTCGTTTCACCGGTACAGTAACCACTGTACGGAAGTGGCATCGTGCCCATTTTCCACTAGCCCGTTTGCGGAGTAGGGATGCCCTTGTGGAGGTACCAATGGAAACTGGCTGTATTTTCACTTACTTTGAAAAGTTGCCTTCAAAGTCCTCTGTCCAGCCTTCCCGGCCTGGCCTCTGGACACCACCGCAGGGAATTCCCGCAGCATCTGACCGTGTTCAGCCAGCACATCAGTCTTGATTGGATAGTGAAAACTCATTCTCAGCTGTGATAAAGCCCAGTTTGGTCCACCCCACATGGGAGCCAGAGCCTCTCTCTCCCTGTGGCTCAGAATTTGCTCTGTGAAAGAGGAGCGGGGCCGGCTCTTTCTTGCTCTTCCTGTGGCTCCTCCAGGGTTGGGGGAGGGAGACAGTAGAGGAAGGCAGTTAGAAGAAAGGCAGCAAGAGTCATTTTGATCAGCTGGTACCCTTTGAGGGCTCGTCCTAACTGTTGGTGCCCTCTGGTACGATTCTCATCCACACGCTGGAGGAAGCGGTCCAGTTGTGGGTTTTGGGGGAGCCCCTATGGGTCTCTGTCCACACTGGCTGAAGGGACGTGCTCTCCAGCCAACCTCCTACCACCCACCCATAGGTTGCTCTTGCTCCTCCGCCAAGGATTCACCCTGTGGCTCTCTTCTTGTGTTGGAGGGTCTCAACCAGCTCACCACACACCTCGTGTTATGCCCTGATTCTTAGAGATGCCCAGATGAGCCCCCACAAGTATAACTGGTGTTTGGAACGGGCTGAACTCGATGACAATAAACAGAAAATAGCTTGCTCTGTTCTTGTCATTTCTTCAAACGTGCTGTGGCCAAATTCCCTTCCCTAGTCCCTGATGGTTTCGTGGCAGGTTCAGTGGCTTTTTGGTGACTGATTATAAGAACAAGCCTCTTTTCAATAACGTAGACTCTCGTTTAGACATTCGAGTCCAGTCCAGAGCTCGGGTTGAACCTGCAGTCTCCCCAGCTCGGGTCCACCACGCGCGGCC